GAAGGCACTATATGAACAACGATTGCTTTGTAGGACTCGTTAGTCCGCGACGGTTGTGGGATCAACGCCATGGTTACGGATATGTCGCGGCTGAGTGAAGTTCAGCTTAAAATATTTCGGTATAGTGAAAGTATGGTCCTTTTTCCGTACGCCGGGACGCGGCAAAACGCCGGAACCGGCCGCGGAGGAGTATCGATTACTCAGTACAGACTGTTCACGGTTAACATTTCGGTTGCTTACACAAAAAGCTAGAAGCAAAAGTAATATAAATTCATAATTAAACTCCTGGGGGGGACACCTCTCGCGCTCGCGTTGACGCTGCGGCTTATGCAGCCGGATATTGAACTTGGTTATTTCCGTCGAGGATATTCATTGGCGATTTCACCGATTGCGGGCATAGTTCGAGTGACACACTACTCGTATCAGATACGAAGCTAAATTTAGCTGATGCGCTCAAAAACGAGGAAAAAATTAACTCCGACACGTTGTGACGTGGCGGTTACTTTGCTAGTTGGCGCAAGCTATAGCTCCCATTAAAAAGACATTTTCTCCACAACTCATTCATTAATCCACCCGTTCATACATTCAGCTTCCATGGCTTGGTTACGGTGCCTGGATTGCGTCTCCGGCTGGTGTGTTTCCGGCTTGTGAGTGGTCCCTCGATTTGCTCCTGATGACGTCATAGAAGTTACACGCTGTCGCCAGTCTTGATCCTGTCGGCGTCACTCTAGCCGTGGTGTTTATATTTGGCCGACGCCTATTCTGCTACAGGTCGCTCTCCAGTGTGGCAGTCCACAAAAGTTTCAGCAGGCAGATGTTGGGACGCCGTGACGACAGCAACACTCGCGTTCGCTCGAGCTTCTCGCAGCTTCACGTTAGCATTTCTGCGACCAACCGCCAGGATCGCGACATGACACTCCGGCTTCTGTGACTTCATTTGTTGCCACTTCGGGACCGATTTTGATGTAAGTGCAGCATAGGACTCCAAATACCCCGGTCGAAGACGCGCTCCCGGAACAATAGCTTGGTTGCGAGAGTTCAAGGGAGAGAGTTTAAAATACTCTTTAGCAAAATGTCGTGGCAAAAATTAGGATTTAGCCTTCCTAATGTGGCGTGCTTGTTATTTCTTGATCTCATGAACGATATACCGTCAGAATTAAAAGTTAATTTGAAATCGTTTAATGCTTCTTTTAGAATTGTAGTTTGATTAGGTAACTAAACTATGTTAATAGTCTTTTGAGTAATTGTTTTACATGCAGTGTGATAATTGCAGTATTGACCGACGTTATTATCAAAACCTAGGTCAATTTAGAGATTCGGATAAAAGGTAACAAGTTTTGAGATATGCATTATTATGAAAATATATGCAGAAAAAGCACTGCGAGACCCTGTACAGAATAAAACTAAAGGAGTGATGTTCTTGGTGTTAGGGCACCTCGTAATTATCTTAACTGCACGCTGTCGGCGCATCTGCCAAGGAGGCAATGTTGAGATAATAGGGAGTTCTCGAAGACCGCGTTTCCCCCTTCGCTATGCCCTCCGCAACAAAGAAGCCGCCACTGCGCCTGCGCGCCGGTGGCCTTGAACAGGGTATAGTAGCAGATTGCAGAGAGCGTTGCGAGAGGGTGAAAACTATCGGCGAAAACTCCCTAATGACGACGTGACTTGACGGGCAACATCACTCCTAAGCATTACCTCGAGACGGAATTCCGGCGCACTTTCAGCATATCGTTTGGGAATCGGGTGACGTAACGGAGAAAACTGGCCAATCAATATCTTAAAACTTTTTACATGTTGGCACATTTATACAAGTTGTCAAGTGGCTAATAGCAAGCGCCGTCTATAGGGCCACTGCAATATGACTAATAAAACAAAGAATTAAAAAGTTAATAAATATTATCACACTGATTGTGACGTTTGTTTTCTCCTCTGACGTCAAGGTGAACATTGAAGCTCGCCGAGCTGAGGAAGAAATAGCGAATAGTGCATCAACGTAGTAGTGAACCCCGTTTAAAGTGATCTGTTTACGTTGGAAACTTTCGCTCAGTATTTTGGCTATCAAATTCTTGTTCGAAACGTACAAAACAAAGCACGGCATCCGCTGTGAGCTTTGACCTATTCCCTGAATTGCAGGAGAGTCCAGTGTCTGAAAGGACCCTCGTCTTTCGCTCCCTCCCCGGGGGAAGGGGGAGGCGGGGGGGGGGGGGGGAAGTCTTCAATTAAGTGATTAAGGGGTCTAGTTAGCACGTAGTTTAAAACATATGAACGAGGCGAAAGCAACAAGAAGGAGGAAGTAAAATGTGCCAAAACCAAAAGCGGAGAGCGGAAAGTGTGCACTTTTCCAGCCGAAAAGGCGGGAGCGGGAACGCATCGTTCCGTTTTCCGGTTTTGATATGGTTTTTGTCGGAGCAAGATGGAGGCACCGCGGACAGAGGGTGCGCGTGACATCGAGTCAGTAATTATAAAGATGTAACCGATTACCGACCAATGAGAATGTCTCTGTCCACTTGCTCCTTTGCGCACTTCGCCCGTCTTGGCCTCTTTCTGCAGCAATGCCCCATTGGTCGCCCGCACTACGAAATCAAACCAGCAACTGGGATTTGTTGCAGAAAATCGTTTCAATGGCCTTCTTGTTGTGTGCCAAACATCAACAAAAGCAATCAAGGTTAGTTCAGGGATCCCATGTAAAAAAAACTTCAAATGTAAGCTACCTCCGCGGGTTCTTCGACAACATAGACAAGCTCGACATAAAGGAGATCGTCAGTCTACTTAAAATTGGCCGATTATGGGGTTTCCAAGAACGTTCAACAAGCTTCGAGTTGGAACCATGTTTATTTAACGAGGATTTTTGTTTATTATCTTGCTAATATTTTGCAAGCTCTGATGTCCACCGTGTTTGATAGCTTGTTCGCGAAAAGAGGTTTTTCTTTGTTTCTCAATCAGCCTGCTGGCAGGAATTTTTCCAGTAGTCGCTGAAGCCCCCGTTATGTGCTCTGTTGTTGAGCGTCAAAATCTCTTCATCTCGCCCTTTCGGGTGTTCAAAGAACAATGAGTTTTGTGGCTGTCGGAAAACAAGTGCTCTTGTCATTTTTCGAGTAAACAACTTCTGAGTGAGAAAGCAGCAAGGCCAGTGCTGTGGGCAGTCGTGTGCGCTACTTGTTTATGTTTGTGTTTTAACACGACGTGTGCGATTCTTCGTGGTAACCGCCGTTTGGTGCTCGCGGCGCGTTACGGACATATCATTCTGCATCATACGTGTCCACAGCATTCAAATTTCGAGTGCAAGAACGACGGTAATCAGGAGGTCGAGTGCTCATGATTCTAATATTCTAGCAATATACAGGGTATTCAATTTTAATTCAATCATGTTTTTTTTTAAAGATAGGGGATGAAAGTTAACGGAGTTCTGTCTTCACCGCTTTTTTATGAGACTCAGTGGACATTAGATGAAGGAATAATCATCACGGTAACTTGGCTAAGTAACTAAACCCTTTTAAATACAGTTTTAATCGTTGGTTCTTATGCGATATGCTGAAACTGCCTAATTCACGGCAATAACAATTAGAGCCCAAATACATGTATATAATTTGCGAGAAGGTAATTGTTTTAGATATATTAATCGATCGAGTTTCGCCTTTATTCGCCCAATTTAAAAATTGCGCCCAAAAAGAGCGCACCAAGCCCTGCTTTCAATTACGCTTGGAAGAATGACGTAGTCGTATATGTCGCGTCGTCACGAGCTCACCAGCGAGTCTTTGGCGGATGCGGCGACGACATAAGTGACGCCGTAGCCTAAATGACTACGTCACTTTTTCAAGCATCATTGTGGGCAAGGCTTGATGCACTTTTGTGCGCACGATTAGTAACTTGGGCAAAACTCGAAAAGTTATCGAATACTATTTTAGAACAATACATTTTCACATTTTTTTTTATTTTTCCGGCGTGTACAAGCTATGGCCGTCAATACTGCGATTTCTACATTACCACTATAATAAGTCATTTAAAAGTTAATTAAGAGATTCTAGCTGATTTGTCATCTAATCTTGACGATTTTGTCCTCATCTAATATCTGCCAAGCCTGATCACAGGGATGAAGGCTGCGCTTGTCTAACTCTCCCCCGCCCTGTTCTGAGTAAATCTTATTAATTAAAATAAAACATCCCGTATATTTAGGTTCAGCAGACCACCTTGAATAGCATAGCTAAACACTGAGATCTACTCAAGAACAACACTATACAAATTTACGGGTTTTCAACTCCGTTTTTTTGTATAGCAAATTTTTCTTCAATTCAAATGAAATACCGAGAACGGAGTGAATTTAATACTCTGAGCGAGGAGCTCGAAATGTTGCGTATTTTTTGTACCATAACTAGCCGCTTCAGCTGCTTGCGCTCTGATTTAAGTTAAAATTAACCATCGAAGAGGCGCCTTGGAGCTGTGGCGCTACTCGCAAGATATCATATATTAAGCCCAAAGAGATTGTCCTTCAGAGTACCAACTTGGTCCACTGTGATTACTTTAAGCCTTATTTTATCATGCTATCTGTCGGCACAGATTGACAACACAGGCCGTAAACTAACATTCTTTATTTGCGGCCGAGACCTGGAAATCGCAGAGTATAACTATTTTCACCTATGTTGAAATAGCTTTCAAAGTTATGCTTAAAACACCACTTTCATTAGTTAATATCATGATGACCCTGAGCTGACGCCTTATTAATTTTAAATGAAGCCGAATCTCTGTAAACGTTGGTGTGCGAATTGAACCGATTCTTAAATTTGTGGCGTTCGCCTTCCGTCGTCCGCCGCAGGCGATCAACCAGACGACTCGTTCCTCGGGGTCAAACAGGGTTTATTACCATGACTCTGGTCCAGACTCGGGGCAACAACTGCTTTCGGCCACACGGGCCATCCCTTTTCTACCCTCTCGGCGCCGGGTGCCGCCCCCCCCGCTAGTCGCCGGTTTGGCCGCCGTGTGGCGGGCCGAGCGCCCCACACCTCCCCCCCCTTTTAGAGGTCGAGGTCTAAGATGGCCTCCTCGTGGGCCGGGTCGCGGAGCAGATCCGGGCGGACTTGGCGGAGGATCCGGATGGCTTCCGCGACCTCCAACGGGCGGGGGGCTGCCGGAGGTGCAGCAGGAGGTGGCGCGGCTCGGCGAGCCCAGTCCGCCGCGACGCGGGCCTGGTGCAAGGCGCCCGCCAGGTGGGTGAGGCGGTGGAGCTCCGGCACTCCGCAGACGGGGCACAGCAGGCGGCGCTCCGCCTCGTTGTATACGGCCGCGGGCTCGTGCGGGTGCCGGTCCTCCAACGTGTTGCCCCGGAAAGGCTCGGGGACGGACTCCGGGGGCGCGCCACGCTCGGGCCGGGGCTGCTCCCTCCAGCGTAGTGCTGAGGCCCAGCCCACCGGGCGGTCCTCTACCAGCACAGTCCAAGTCGCGACGGAGGCACGCTCACGGCGCGGCGGGAAGCGTGCCGCCAATCGCCTGAAATGATAGGCGTGGCGGGAACGCTCTTGGTGGCAGTGACGATCCTGCGGAGGAAATAGAGAACGGGCACACGAAGAAAAAGGACGAATTAACGGGTCTGGTTGTGATACGTCAAACATGCTCGGAGACACTCGCGAACAGAACAATCCCTTTGTGAAAACAAAGGGCAGACCCGCGGGAAGGAGATTGATCCTCTCCCCCCCTCTCCGCGAAGAGACGCAGCCAGCCAAAAAAAAGGATATGAATAGAACAGGTGATGAGTCACCGAGGGCGTAGGTTGTACCGCCTGGGCGTAGTTCCGTGGTCCAAGGGCTGGCTGGGAGCTGGGATGTCCGGGACCTGCGGAAAAACTGCTGGCTCGCAGTAACGCTTGAGCTCAGACACGTGAATTGGGCCGTACTGCTGTGTACCATGCAGTCGTGCTAGGCGGTAGCTCAGCGGGGAAATTGTGTCCGTTATGCGAAAGGGTCCATCCCAACGGTTGGCGAGGGATGCTGCGAAGCCTTTCGACGCATCGCTGAGGGGATGTGTCCGACGAAGTACCAGGTCTCCAACCTGAAAGTGGACACTGCGGCGGCCCTTGTCGTACTGGGCGGCCTGTTGAAGACGAGCGACGTCGAGGTTCTCTCGTGCTTCACGAACGGCCGACGAGAGTCGGTGATGGACGTCCTGGGCGAACTGCGCGTATGGGCGTCCATTCTGCGCAACATCTGTGTATAGAAATGAATTTTCCATTGGGAAGGTTAGCTCCTTACCAAAGTTGAGACGGGCAGGCGTGAAACCAGTGGATCGGTTGACCGTGGTGCGCGTTGCAAATGCCATCTCGTCGAGTTTGGCATCCCAGTCTTTGTGACGGGCTGTGTGGGAAATCAACATCATTTTGAGGTTGCGGTTGATCCTCTCCGTGATGTTGGCTTGCGGATGATACGGCGAAGTCAGCTTGTGCCGTATTCCAAGCGCAGCGCAGGTGTCGATGAAAATCTTGCTTCGAAAGTACGAAGCACCGTCCGTGATGAGCTCTGCAGGAAAGCCGAATCTCGTGAAAACGGACAGAAGGCAGTCCCAGATCCGCTGCGAAAGAAGCTTCCGTAAGGGGAACAGTTCGACCCACTTGGTGAAGTGGTCAGTCACAACAAGTAGGTACTGATTTCCGCGAGGACTACGTGGAAACGGTCCCATGACATCACATGCGACAATCTGCCAAGGCGACTGGCTAACGACTGGCTGCATTAATCCTGGTGGTTGGCCTCCGCGAGGTTTCGCCTTCTGACACACTGGACAACTGCGAGCATACTTCAGTACATCCTGCCTGATTCCTGGCCAAGTCGCAACACGACATAACTTATCGTAAGTCTTACTGCCGCTGCTGTGACCCGCTAATGCTGAATCATGGAAGTACCTGATGAATGATTTGCGCAGCTTCCGAGGTATCACAATCCGGAAAGGCGATCCATCGCTGTCGTCGTCTGCCTGGGGGATGTAGCGGAGAAGAAGTCCGTCCTCGCTCAGCAGGTACGAGTCGGACTCGTCGTCGCTTCCGGTGCCGCTTGCTCTTCGTGCCGCAAGCCTCTCGCACACGCGTCGACAAAGTCCATCTTCCTGCTGGGCCTTGCGGAGGTCTGCTCTGCTCACCAACGTCCCCCACCGTGACTCCGAAGTGCGGGCCACGATGTCGGTTAATCCCACCAACTTCGGTTCCGTCTCAGTGGGAGGGACCTGCAAAGGAGCCCGTGACAGTGCGTCTGCCACAATATTAGTTGCTCCTTTCCTGTAGGCGATAGTGTAGTCGTACGCTTGCAGTGTCAGAGCCCATCGTGCAAGACGTCCGGCTGGATTCTGCAAATTCTTCAGCCAGGAGAGCGCTTGGTGATCCGTCTGTATCTGAAAGGAAGCGCCATCGAGATACATGTTAAACTTCTTGAGGGCGAAGATGATGGCGAGACACTCCTTTTCCGTCACGGAGTAGTTTCGCTCGGCCGCTGTCAGCGTGCGGCTAGCGAAGGCGACTGGGCGAAGAACGTTGTCGTGTTCCTGAAGGAGGACTGCGCCCAGGCCGAAGTTGCTGGCATCTGTTTGGACGACAAATTGTCGGTTGAGATCCGGCAACTTCAAAGAGACGACGTCGGTGATCGCTTTCGAGAGCTGAAGGAAAGCGACGCGTTGATCCTCCCCCCACCGCCATTTCTCGCCTTTGCGCAAGAGCAAGGTCAGGGGGTTAGCGATCTCGGCGCAGCGAGGGATGAACTGGCGATAAAACCCAATCAATCCAAGAAACCGCTGCAAACTCTTGACGTCGTGTGGCTGCGGATACTCTGTTATTGCACGCAGCTTGTCCTCGTTGGGGCGAAGAACTCCATTGTCCACTACAAAGCCAAGGAGGTTAATTTGTGGTGAAGCGAGCTGCGCCTTGTCAGGGTGAATCGTCAGGCCGGCGTTGCGCAGGCGCTCGAGGACGATCCCAAGATGCTTCAGGTGTTCCTCGAAAGTCTGGGAAAAAATAACGATGTCATCCATGTATGCCATGGCGAATTTATATTTTGTGTCGCCGAGAACGATATCCATTAAGCGCTGGAAGCTAGCGGGTGAATTGGAAAGGCCAAAGGGGAGGCGGGTAAATTCAAACAATCCTCTGTGGCAAGTGAACGCAGTCTTTGGCACGTCCTCTGGATCAATCTCAATTTGCAAAAAACCTCGACTGCAGTCCAAAGTGGTGAACACTTTCGCGTTGCCAATCGCGTACATAACCGAGTCAATGGAAGGAAAGGGGTACGAATCTCTCACCGTCACTGCGTTGAGGCGGCGATAATCCACGCAAAGTCGTACCGAGCCGTCCTTCTTCGGAGCCAAGACGACGGGGGAGGCCCATGGACTCTGGGACTCTTGCACTGCTCCGGTATCCAGCATCTCCTGTAGTGCTGCGTCTAGTAGGGCTCGCTTGTGGACGCTGAGGGGCCTAGGGTTGCACCGCAGTGGTCGGGCGTCACCAGTCTCGATGCGGTGTAGCAACACGTCGGTCTTGCCCGGGGTTTCCGTGAACATCGTTGCGAACGGCTGCAGGATGCTCTCGAGCTGCTGCTTTTGCGAGCTGGTTGCTGGGCAGGCGTTGAGGGCGTCTCGGATGCCATCAGGAAGAACTGCAGCTGGCCGCGCTGTGTAGTGGGTCGGAAGGGTTGCGCCGGTGACGCAGTCTTCACGTCTGGTGAAGGGGGTCACGTGTGGCTGGTTGTCCAGCTGATACCCGCCGGCAGCAAAGTCGAGCGAAATTTTTTCGTCTGCAATGAAATCTCGGCCCAAGATAACAGGTACGGCCAATCCTGGCAGATAAAGGAAACGCTGACGCCGCGTTTTTCCGTCGAAAGAAATCCTCAGCCTTACTGCGCCTGCTGCTTTTGTTTGCGCGCCTGATGCTAACTGCAAAAGCGTGCTCGAACAACGGAGCTTAACATTTTTTGATTTGCAGAGTTCAAAAACGACGTCGCCGATAAGCGAAACTCCCGCGCCGGTATCGAACAGGGCGGCGAAAAGAACTCCGAGCAGAGAAATCGTTATCCTAGGCTCGATGCTGTGGTTCGTAGGTCGTACTCGACATACAGAAGGAAGTATTGCCGGCGACTTACATTTCCCGGGGCTGGTGGCGGCCTTGGGCGGCGAGGTCTCCGGGTTCAGCGCCGCGGGCCGCCTCGGTTTCCCTGGTCAGGCAGTTCTCGCTGCTCACGGGGCCGCCGTTGTGGGCACTGGCTGCGGAAGTGGCCACGCTGTCCGCAGTTGTAGCAGGAGTCATTCTGCCGCTGGGTTCCCACGTTGCCCCGTTCACTCCCACGTCGCCGGCTGCCTCTCGGCTCCGCCGGGTCATTCCCACGTTGCCAGCCGCCTCTCGGCTGGCGCTGGGGCCTTTCGGCCATCTGAAGATCTCGCCGAGGGTCATGCAGCCAGCTTTCGCTGTCCGGGAACTGCAGCCGGCCCCTCTCGGGGTTTCGCGGCACCCGCGGCGGGCTTCCACCCAAGTGCGGGCCCTGGGGGGACCAATCCCAGGCGCCTGGGGCTTCCCTCGGTCGGGAATTTAAGCTCACGCTGACCCCAGCCGGTGATGCAGCACCGAGCCTCCCGTCGCCATCCCGAGTGCACTCAAGGGTGTCCAGGGCGCGGGGCAAGTAGGCGTGGGCGCCGACCCTTTCGGGTGGGCGGTGAGTCGGAGGGGTGCGTTCCAGGGCGGTGCGTGCAGGTGGCGACCACGCGCACGATGGTTCGAGGGCTTCTGTGGCGGGGGGCGGCGGCCGGTAGTCCACGCTGGCCAGGATCATGTCTTGCACGCCGCGCGCCGCACGAACGAGGTCTTCCACGCTCTCGAACCGCCGCCCCTGAAGATAGACGTGGTAACGGGGGTGGCTCTGTCGGATGATGCGTGCAACCCTCTCCGACTCGGGAGCAGCTTTCGCCGCTCGGTTGAACAGCTCCTGCATGGCCCGGATGTATTCGACGAGGCCTTCCTCTGGATGCTGGGTACGTCGTTCGAGCTCCCGCTGGACTCGGGAGTCGTACCCCGGTGGCAGGAACTCTTCTCGGAAGCTACGGCGGAACGCCTCTAGGGACGGAAAGGGAGTTTGCAACACCCACCATCGTCTCGCGCTCGCTTGTAAGGCGAGGGGCAGGATGCGCTCGAGCACGTAGCTCTCCGAGGCGCCGGACGCTCGGGCGTAGACGTCCAGCTCTTCCAGGAAGTCGGCGACGGACTTCCTGTCGTCGAACCCCGTGTACACGGGGACCGTGAGCCGAGGGTGAAGCTCGGGCCCACGCTGCTGCACATGGCCGCCGGCTCCTCCCGTGCCGGTTGCGAGGCGCTCCGTCACCAACTGGAGGGTGGCGGACATTCGGGCCATGAGCGCCAGGACCTCAGCCGACGACGGACCGGGCTCCGCGTCTTCTTCGCTGGAGTCGCCGTGGTCGGACGGGGGCTGGGACTGTTTCTTGGGAGGCATGGAAAAAAGAAAAACGCGCGACAAGGGAAAAAAAAACAGCACACGCGACCACGAGGGAAGAAAAAAAAGAAAACGCGCCAACAAACTACGCCAAGAAAACCGCACCGTCAGCGACGTGCAGACCGCGGTGATAGGCGAGCGCGCAAAAAGTCACAATGAACAAGAAAAACACGACGCGATATAGAAAAAATGAAAAACGCGAACCGCGACGAATCAACGACCGAAAAGAAATTAAGAAATGCAAAGTTGAAGTAAGGGAGGACGAACCGTCTGGTCGAGATCACCGACGACGGACGACAGAGCCCCACGTTGGGCGCCAGATGTGGCGTTCGCCTTCCGTCGTCCGCCGCAGGCGATCAACCAGACGACTCGTTCCTCGGGGTCAAACAGGGTTTATTACCATGACTCTGGTCCAGACTCGGGGCAACAACTGCTTTCGGCCACACGGGCCATCCCTTTTCTACCCTCTCGGCGCCGGGTGCCGCCCCCCCGCTAGTCGCCGGTTTGGCCGCCGTGTGGCGGGCCGAGCGCCCCACAAATTGGATCACTGCGGACGCCGTTAAGGTACTGAACTATAATGAATACATTTTTGAAGGCCATACTTCATATCCAAATTATGATAAATTGAAGCTTAATAAATATTAATTAATAAATAATTATGAAAACTCAGCTGTGCTTGTCAACGACAGAGTTCACAAGCAATTTGTTTAAGCTTTATTATGTGGTCGTAATTCTTTGCGCCTGAATGCCTCAAACCTACAGAGTCTTGATGTTTGTTCTTGGGACAATAAAATAAAATAATGCCCACAAAGTATGGCTTCCAGTGATTTATTTCACACGTAATTTGTGTTTTCGCTTTAATTACACTGAAACACATTCTTCGATTTACAGACCTAGAGAGGATAAAAGAATGCATATATGAGCACAGTTTACAGCTCGCTGCAAAGAATGCCAGTTGAGTTTTCAATTTATTTGAGAACGTATATATTTCTAAATGGCACAAATGAAGCTGCTTTCACTCTTTTTTTTTATAAAATTGTTTATCACTGCAAGGTGTTCCATCAGGCGCCGTGGCATTAGCCACTCAATAAGTTCCTTTTTCATCAGGAGGAGTTGCACAAGCAAGAATGCGATGTTGCAGCAAGTTTTCCTGCAAGGTTTATCCACATGCATCTTTATACTGTGATATAACTGTCAGACGTCAAATGTGTCTAGATTTAGGGACTACATTGGAGCACATTATAATGAACGACTTGAGTTTCCCATGACTATCAATGGTTAAGTTTGTTTGAACATACCAGACAAAAGCACGTGGTGCAAAAGTATACACTGCGAAACCCATGGAACCGGTGTTCGATCCCCAGTCGGGCCGATCTTGTTAATGACGTGTAGTGTACCGGTCTTCAGGTAGGACAGCCGCTATTTGCGATTCACGTTTACAACCCCAGATCAGAAGCAATTAAGTGTCGCTGTACTGGCGTAATATCCCCTCTGAAGGAAACAGATATAGTTTGAATTCCATGGAGCAAATGCTCTTCGTAAAGTTCATTTAGCGCGCGGCACAACAGCCATTGTCTTGAATCAACGCGCAGAACGAAAGTCACCGGACGAAGTTTATTGATATATTCGCTTCATGAACTCGGGCCGTAAAGCGCCTCACTTGGATGACAAAATAGGTTTACTTTCTCAAAATACTTACCAGTGCACTTTAGCTTTAGAGTAACTTGTTCGGTGCATATTTCATATATCTTTTTTTTTTTTCGAAATTCACAGTGAGCAAACTCAACCGTAGTGCTTCATTACTTCAAGGGTTATTTATTTCTCGGCTGACCTCTTCAACACAAGTGAAGCATGTGGGAAATCTACGTGTATATGGTAATTTGTTCAATTTTTAGAATATAAAAAAAAAATCCTTTAACCTACCGAATAATCGACTAGTGCTTTAGTTCGGAAATTTTATATCACCAGTTGGTCGTCAAAATTTGGACGAAACAAAACAAAATTAAAAAATAACGTGTTAGTCACGTAGACGTGAATGGCCATACCTCTATGAAAGGCAAACGTTAGTTGAAAATTTAACCTAAACTAAACTGTAAGAGCGATATTCGTCACTCCAGACAAGTGCAGATGATTACACGTGTAACAGTTACTTTAACGCCGTGCGAGTGTTCGTTTAGCGCACCAGAAACGTTTGTAAACAATCAAAGGAGGTCACTCTCGCCGGAGAATATTAGGGAACCCCTTTGCTTCATGCAGCTGTTTTGAACTCTGCAGTTATTGGTTGATTCATGATAGAAATTGTATACTGCGCAGTTTATCCCATATTCAGCAGAGGCAATAAAAAAGTTAATTAGACGTTTTAAAAATAATATGGATAGAAAAGAATGGGATCAAATATTCGATTAATTAATCGATTAAAGGGTGTTGATTACCCGGGCTAAACCTCTAAGCAGCGCCCAGCTCTATTATGTTGTTTAAAATGTTTGATAATTCGGAGTGAAAAAATTTAAGTTAGTTACTAGCAGATAGTCCGATGACGGTTGGTTTGTTCACTTCTGTAATTTTTTTAATTGTTTTTCCACTACAAAGATGTAAGGAGAACAACTGAGTAGCTTTGTGGGAGGTGGAATAGCGATTGTTCTAACGTCGCGTGCTCAACGAGCATTGGAATCCTGTGTTTATCTTTAAGAGTAAAAATCACAAGTAACCAATTTTACCTAATCAAGCGACGTATTACTGCAAGGTTTCCCCTATATTATGTCCCCCGGGGGTATAACGGATCTGAAAAGACTGCATTATTGTAGCTTTCACGGCCTTCTTTAAGAGCAGCCTGTAAATCCTGAACAAAACACCCTGTATATTCAAGACGATTAGAAAATCGTCCTGTTTTAGGTATTCGGTTTGAATTTGTAAATATATTACGTAATAATGCGTTTTTTATTATTATGGCACGCGAGTTTTCAAAGAAAATATTACAAAAATTTAAGTATCACTAAAATTTAATCGTTACGTAACCAAACAAGATGTGCATAGCACTCATTTAAAAGACAACTTACTTGTAATTGACTACTTTTTGGAGTAATTTTGTAATAATTTGTTACGTTCATTAAAAAGTATTCACAAGAGTATTTTTATTAATTTTGGAAGGACTAAAATTACTTGTAACCGTTACTATGTTTTCCTTCCCTCCAATGGCGGCCCTTGTTGGTACAAGTCTTCTACATTGAACTCCTCAAACTAAAAACTCCCGACAGAAGCATGGCTTACCACTATAGGTGGATTAAGTAGATAGGCTGTTTATAATTCGGTGATTATAATCCAATAATTGACAGTACAAAAAAAAACATATTCAGGCTGGTTGAAATTTTCCTTTTTCAAAATCTGAAGTGATCGATAAGTAATGTTACTTTTTAAATAACAGTCAAATACTTCTTTTATCAGGTCTTCACGTAATCTAAGTGAATATATTTAACCAACAGTAATTACAATTGTAATCGAATTCTTTTCTTGAATGACGTATAGAATACTGAAACGAACCTACTTTCACCAACCGTGAATGACTCTTTTTGTTCAAACTATAACTTCAGTTCGGATCCTTTTTTTAACTAAACTCGGCCACCGGTCGATATGCGCCAACGTCCCTGCATGCGTTTCGGGCTTGGAGGACATTAGATAGAAGGAAACTCGAAAAATCAATGTGGTAAAAATAATATTTGTAAATCAACTTTTTAAATTTTCGCTTTATGGTTCCAGTGGTTCTTGCGACATTGACAGAAATTATATAGTTCATAGGATACACAAATTTTGATATTTCGTTGCCGAAACGCAATAAGGTTTCACATATGCATCGCGTGGCTTCAGTTGCCGCGATGTCCAGTCGGGGCGTTTGCTCCTTGAGGCGTCGGTTCAGCTCAAACACCATCGGGTAAGCGTGGCGTGGCATCTCGGCACAGGCGTAAGTTGGGCCAGTGAGCTCGGCACCGAGCTCTCGGCGGGTATGCCCCACGAAGCAGCGCGCGAGGTATTTTGCCGGGTCGTTCGCTTCGTGCTGGATCGACAACATCGTCTTCAATTTGGGTAATGCGGCTGTGCAGTATACGCAGGAAAAACTCCATCCTCCTTGCTCTCGCTGGGGGGAGAGCACAGGACAAGTGACGAGCTCCGTCTTCTCTGTACAGAAAAATCTTAACAGAGAGCTGCGCACCTGACGGGAAAAGTTTCTCAGTGGTACCGCCCCCTGTGCGAGGTACCACGGACGCCCGCAGAACACTGAGCAGGTCAGATACCTGCGCTCGGTCATGGGGAGGTCGTAGCCTCCCCTCCAACCCGGTTCACGCTCATCACGATGTCGCTCGCCAGGCTGGTCCCCAAATGTGGGAGAAATTCCCACCGCGCTGCACGTCACGCCGGGAGGCTTCACTACGGCCACCGCCGGGAGTGGGGAAGCTGGCTCGGGTAGGCGGTTGACCCACAACGTACTGCTCTTTTGCTCGTTCAGGCGCGTGCCGGAGAGCGACCCGTAGGACGTGAAGACCTGCTGCTGGGAGCGACAACACGTCGGCCACATCCAGCACACGTCGAACATAGCGGAAATGCGCGAGAACCGCTGGGTAGTGTCGACAAGGAGTCTCTGCTTGTATGACTGTGTTGAAGTTGGTGCATTCGAGAGTGCGACGATCAAGTGTCCGAGCCAGTAGAGTCCAAGAACCCCTGTGGGCTGTCCGAGTTTTGATAGGAAACAGCGTTTTACGAAGAGCAATGATCCGACCAATAAGAGTGACGTTGGGAATGCTCCATCTTTCACGTTCACGGATCGTAGTGCACTTGACGAGCTCCGTCTTGTCCAAAAAGAAGCAAAAATTTACACCATCCACTTCTTGTGGCGTTGGCAGCAAGACGTGAGCAAGGTGCCACACTTTAACACAAGGAACAGTCTTTATCAGGTTAGATTTCTCGCGCAACGACAAAGCGAAGGATGCTGTATACAGCACCCTGTCCTGCACCATGCTTATCACTAAGTTCCAGTGTCGTGACACTGTGCCATCAACGTCAAAGAAAACATTGAGTAGTTTCAGCTCCAAGACGCTCACGATTCCCGAGGAGGAGCTGGTTGGAAAGATCGTTTGAATTTTGCAGGTTTAGACGCGCACCGTATACGGCTGAGTGCTGTGAAAAAAGCAATGTACTTAAAAATTAAGTCTTCGTAACGAAGACACAAAAATACACGTCATCTGCATATGCTGACACGCTGACAAATACATGCATTCTCCGGAATAGGGAGGCCTTAGTGCTGCGGCGTATTTAGTGCCGCGTGGAGGAATCGGTCGATCATAATCGTGAATAGAAAAAGTGACAGGAGGCATCCCTGACGAAACCCTCGTCGGATAGGACACACCAGGCCGATGCAACCACAGGAG